GTCCCCCCATATCACTGTAGGTCACCCCATGTCTCCCCCATATTACTATGGGGTCATTCCATGTCCCCCCATATCACTGTAGGTCACCCCATGTCCCGCCCCATAACACTATAGGGTCACCACATGTCCCCCTATTATTACAGGGTCACTCCATGCCCCCCATATCACTGCAGGGTCACGCCATGTTCCCCCCACGTTATTGTGCTGCACCATTTCCCCCTGCCATGTTACAGGTCACCCCCTGCCCTCCCCCTGCTCTTGCAGTCCCCCCAACATTAAATGGGGGGTCACCCTGTGTATCCCCCCCCAAGCCTGGATCCCCCCCGCCTCGTTTCTGTGGGGCCACCCCCTCTATCTCTGCAGGGTGCCCCATGTCCCCTCCTTTCCTCCATGTCACCCCGGGGGGCCCCCACCCAGCTGGAGGGGGGTCCCCCATGTCCCCTTTCTTCCATGTAACCTCAGGGCACCCCCACCCTGCTGGGGGGTCCCCCATATCCCCTCCTTTCCCCCCATGTCACCATGGGCATGTCCCCCCCGTCCCCTCCTTTCCCCCATGTCACCCCCATGTCCCCCCCCGTCCCCTCTTTTCCCCCATGCCCCCACCCTGTTTTGGGGTCCCCCCTCCTCAGCACTAGTTCGGGGGCCGGGGGGGGGGTCATGCCTCATCCCCCCACCCCACGCACAGGGCCCCGACCCCCAGCGCTCGTGGCCAACACCTTTATTGGGGGCACAGGCGGCGGTGACGGGGACGCCGCCGCTGTCACCGGAGCCACCTGCAGTCATGGGCCACGCGGGGCCGGGGCCACTCGCCCTGCTCGGGCGCTAATTAGCGGTTAACGAGCTCCGGGGATGGCGCCTCACATGAGGCGACACTGCTCGCCCGCCGCGGTGGCCGCGTCCGGCAGGCTCAGGCCCTCCAGGTCCACGTTGAGGCCGGGTGGCTGCGGGCCAGAGCGAGGTGACAGTCAGCGGCCTGGGGCCCTGCCGGGACCGGTGGCCCCATCACGTCCCAGTGTCCCCAAGAGGGCCCGGTGGCCCCAGCAGGGCCTGGTGTCCCCCACTGGGGGTCCTGCTGTCCCCCACAGGGACTGGTGGCCCCAGCAGGGACTGGTGTCCTAGCAGGGTGTCCTGGTGGCCCCAGCAGGTCCCGGTGTCCCCAGGAGCGGCCGCCGCAGCCCCTGTCCCCCGCCTCGGCCCCATCACGGTCACACAGGCAGGGAAGAGCAGCCAGAGCCGCCGCTGCGGCCAGCGCCAGGTCCTGCAATGTCACCGACCCCGGGTGGCTCTGGCCGGGGCGCTGCCTTGGGGACCAGCCCGGCCCCCACACTCAGAAGAGACTCGGGGGGTCTCCACGGGGACAGACAATGACCCCCGGGAGGGACGGGGACAAGTCCAGGGTGACTCACATGGCACCCATCCCTTCCAGAGTCCCCCAGCCATGCAGGCAATGGGCCGAGCTCCATCTCCAAGGGGAACAGGCGGCCCTGGGAGCAGCTCGAGCTCCCCCGGGAGCAGCTCGAGCTCCCCCGGGAGCAGCTCGAGCTCCCCCGGGTGGCCCCGGGAGCAGCTCGAGCTCCCCCGGGAGCAGCTCGAGCTCCCCCGGGTGGCCCTGGGACCAGCTCGAGCTCCTCCAGGACCAGCTCGAGCTCCCCCGGGTGGCCCTGGGACCAGCTCAAGCTCCTCCAGGACCAGCTCGAGCTCCCCCGGGTGGCCCTGGGACCAGCTCGAGCTCCTCCGGGACCAGCTCGAGCTCCCCCGGGTGGCCCTGGGACCAGCTC